TATTCATGTGTCTGTGCTGCAATATAACGTGACAATCAGAACCAATGCTGGTGACAGCCTTGATCATTTTGACCCCCTTTGGATAATTATTGTCTAGATTTAAAAAGGATATCGGCCCTTTGCGCAGCAGGTATTTTGACATGCCACAAAAGGAATAGCACAGGTGTAATCATTGAGAACAGCAGCAGGGCGCCGCCACTGTGCATGTGGATTGACTGTCATGGCCTGCTGAGACACTTAATGGAACTGAGACACTGGTACGTATCTTCTTAGCTCCATCTGTGCTTTTTTTTAAAAAACAAATCCATAGCCTGTAGACTTATGTGTACAATATTTACACGTGGTAATCCTTATTAATCCTGCTATTATTATAACACATCTGCATCGTGCTATAAACGTCATTACAAACGATTAGTTCGTCCAAAACCAACATTTTTGGAGGTTTAGGTTTGAAAATGCAGGTCTGTGGTGTCTGCAGTCGGCTTGGATTCACAACAGATGCAGCGGATGGAATTGTTTTCAGTCTTAATAAGCCGAAATATCCACGGGAACTTCGGAAACTTCTAATAATCCACCGCCGTCCGCCCGTGTGCTCGCGATGCCCTCATGTTTTATCTATTATTTTCCATTTTATTTATTGTTCTCAGCCCAGTTCTTCTAACATCAACGGAAATATTTATAGCAGAGTGATGAGCTGCTGAGATTTTCTAATAATAACCCCTCACAGATCTGAACACAAATAAGTATAAATAAAGTAATATTCTCCCTTTTTAAATTTATTTTTGCATGAGTTGTTTACGTCTTTGTTCTCGTTGGGCAAATAAATGCTTTCTGTGCTTTGTGGTTTCAGATCTTTGGGAGAGAAAAAAAAAAAAATCATACATATTCACAGACACACACGCACACGCACAGCAGCGAGCCGGGCTGATTGGATGGTGGACGGCTGGAGTTGTTATTACAGAGCATCCAGCAGAGTCTGGTTTGCAGGATAAGGACGTCCTTACAGGGCATTTCTCAGTGTGAACGATGAGGAAACAGCTCCCTGTGTGAGCGCGGGTGTGTGTGTGTGTGTGTGTGTGTGTGCGCGGGTGTGTGTGTGTGTGTGTGTGTGAGAGAGAGAAAGTTAGAAAGAGAGAAATCGGCAGAATGTGGACAGATGCATCTGTCTGCCTACATATTTTGGCCTTCAAATAGAAATCTTGGCAATGCTTGCAAAAAGTGACTTTCCCCATTGGAGCGCTCGGTGCCAAGGGCTTTCCTGTTGAGAAAGAGGCTGGAGACTAAGAAGCGAGCTCACAAGGCTTTACATTCTGTTACAGGGAAGCCTCCAATAAACTTTCTTTCTGCAGAGACATCTCCATCTTTGGTGAGCAAGAGCTGGAGTAAAGAGGCGGGTCTGTCAAAGCCAAACACTGAATGTAAACAAAGAATGGACACACGCCGGCCATTTGTGTTCGTCTGAGGTTCTGTTAATGGGTTCCCTCGGTGCCTATTAGTGCCTCATTAAGGATTCTTTCTTTCTGTTTTAAAAACCGTTGACAAAAGAAGCATGGAGACCACCTGTAAACGTGAACATATCCCTACGCCAAAACATAAAGGGCGTCTCTTCAGGCATTTTAAACTTCTAGTCAAAAACAGAGAGGAAAAGAGGAAAAGTTTGCCACAGATCGCTGGTATTTTTCCATTGGAAATCTGCTTTGCGGTTATACACCCGAATATTTTCTTTTCAGTGAAGGGTTGTGGCTCGCAGACATCCCTGACATGCTCAGGCTTCCATCTCGGTAATGCAATCCACTCTGTTTCCACAAAGATCCAGGGATCAACTGTTGCAGCTGGGGATGAGAGGGCCCAGCAGTCGCCTCAGACGCCCAGGATCAGAAACCCCAAACAGGGATAACACCCTCTCAGCATTCAATGTTTTCAATCAAGGGATCAGCTACTGTGACTGGAAACAAAATGTCCCAGACAGCTATCACGCAGGAGTTGCCGGCAGGCAAAAGCTGGCACGACTAATATGGCTTGTCAGAGTGAAAATAGCCTGGTATTGTTCGCACCTTCCATAAAGGTACAGGCATAACGCTTTTGTCTTGTTCATCTCTCTGGAGTCATGCTCTAATAGCTTTTCAGGCTCATGTTGCTTTGGTAAGAGGGATTTAAAGTTGGTGTTTCACTACCCGAAGAGTCGAGTGACGGAAGCAGAGCTATTCATTTACACATAATTCAGCATGAATCGAATTCATAGCATCGTAAATGTGATAAATTTGTGTCTTTAGATTAAATGGTATTTGACGAATGGATTTGAGAATTATCAAATTGCCTGGTTAGGGATTTATTAAAAATAACCCAAGGTACACGGACTGTGTCTTATACAGTGTTTTCATTGGTTGCCAAGACTGCAGCTGTACCAAAATATATTGGACAGATGAACAGAAATGCTAAATAGTGGAACTAATTTGTCTTTAAATACGAGCTCCCAGTTGTTAGATGTTGCAAAGAGCTGCGATAGATGTAAGGAAATATGAAAGGTGTTCAGCTGCAGTATTTCCGATCCCAAACTGACAGACAGGCAGATGTTTCTGTTGAGATCAAACTCTCTTTTTCTCATGCAAACTTTCACATTAACTGTACAGCAGTTGCACTTTTTAAGGTTGATTTCAAACAGCCCACCCCCCACGGTGAGCACTTCTTTTGTTTCTTCTTCTTCTCCTGACTGAAAAAAACGAGTCATTTCATCATATCTGCATCTCGAGCCTGTTTTTCCGTCCTTGCGTAAATCCTCGGAGTGGTTTTAATAGACAAATACTTGTTATGGAGGTCTTCAGCATTTACAGTAAGCCCCGCACAAAATCCACCCTGCAGAGGAACGTTGCCATCTAAGCCTCCGGTAAAGCCCGGGCAGAAATCTGGATGTGGACCAGCAGATCGAGCGTCAGTGTGGAAACATAAAGAAGGGTTTGATCTCATTTATGCCCTCGCTGTTCTGGAAGTGATGAAATGAGGCCGGTCTTGAGCTGGGCGAGGTCATTCCTCTCCTCTTCCTCTCCTCTCCCCTGCTCTCCTCTCATCTCCTCTCCCCTCCTCTCCTCTCCTCCATTAATCATGTCTGTACACATGAAAATGAGCTTAACCCTTTATCCTGTGCGGCGCTCTACTTCCACTCAAGGACACCTTGCAAGCAGGTATAAGTAGGATCCCTCTGCGCATATTTTCCTCCTCTATTTCCAACTAATGGACACCTTTCAGTCTTGATCCAGCTTGACTTAGCGGCGGAAAAAAAAAGAAAAGAAAAATGCTACATGGGGCTTCATCCTCCCTTGTTAGGGCTGCCACTCTTTGCTGTGCAGCCTCATAACAATTAACACTTCTATAAATCCCTTTGTCAAAGGCTTAATGGGAAAAAAATGGAATTTAAGGACTTATCCCTACCCCTTGAGTCTAACATAATTTCACTCACAACTAAACTATGTGAGGGAAGGTTGGGTATATAATATAATGCATACGGCTTCTGAAAAGGAGGAGGACGGAGAGAAAGAGCGAGAAGATGAAAAACATGATAAAGGCACAGAGGGAGAGCAGGAGGAGTAGGTAGAGAATAAGTAAGGAAGAGAGAGGAAGGAAAGAAGAAAATGAGCTTGGTTCCCTTTGTGGCACAGCGCTTCACCACTTAATCATCCCCTGGTCTATAAATAGGCCTTCACAGCCATGGAATATTGGGAGATTAATGGAAGAGAATGGAACGCCATAATGCGCCGAAGCTCCAACACTTGTGCTGCACTTCAATAGTGCAGATTTCATTTTATTTCACCACCAATCGCAAATTCTCTCCCCCCACCCCCCCATCCTTCTTCAGTTTTATCATAAAAAGCGGCGACGGGAAATCTAGCAGATTGCATCCACGCCCCCTCCCCCCCGCGCTCGTCTCCATCTCTTCATGTTTTGCCTACTTCAACACAGTTTTACTGGAAGACGGGCGTGCAGGCTCAAAGCTAAATGGCACCAAATGCAGAACTGTTGGTGCAATGCAAGCACGAGAGCCTGAGCAAAACACCCCAAAGAACACGAGCTTTTCCGAGAGCAGGCTGTGGAAAAGTTCTCCTCATTTCACATTCTGCACAATGCACTACAGTTTCTTTTCAGCACCTATCACAAGTGCTCATCTCCTGAGGAAATGTTGACGGTGTTGAGGTAGCAGGGATCACCTTGTATCTCCCCGCTCTCCTCACTGTGAGCGTACGTATGTACCCGTCTGCTGATGTGTGTGTACACTCTGGGTTTGCAGGCGCTTGTGTGGGTGCTGGCTCACAACACCGGCGTCAGATTTTTGAGGGAAATATAGCAGAGATGCTATTTAGGTCGGCGAGAAGAAAGCGAGGTTGTAAGGACACGAAACCTGTGCTGAAAACAAATACCGCTTTCCGCTATAAATAGAAAGAAAGGTTGTTAAGAAACAGGAGACGAGCCAAAACCAATTGGAGCTGTTACACATGGGCTTGTTAGAGTTGGCTGTTGTATTTTGAGACAAAAATTTAGATTCACTGACTTGTGCTTTTCCACAGTCTCCCATTCCTGTGAAACAGCACTGCTGTCCAGCACCTCCTCCTAGCTGTATATCATATCAGATCCCACCATCTGTTGGAAACGCATATGTCTGCATTACTCCCTCCGAATCACAACTTCCTCTCAGCCTGTGAGCTCATTAGTGCAGTCTCAATGAGCTAAACAGAAACCTAAAGACAACAAGGAATTTGCTGTTCATTAGTGGCTTTATTGCTGTTGATTCTTCATTTGCTTTTAACTCACAGGGACAGCGAACTGTTAGGATTGTACCTGGGCTTTTCTTACGACGACAAGAGAAAATATCTGTGGAAAAAAAGCTCTATCACTATATATTTTATTCATTAACCTCAGTAAAAATGAAATAGAAAAGACAAGAAATAGCACAGAACAATTTAAATGATAATTATGATCATGGATTTCTTCCCTTCTCATTTTCAGTATTTTATAGTCAGGCCTCAGTATTTGCACGGGCATCCAAACCCAACTTTGTAGTCACGGCAATTGCCAGACTTCTGGTCCTTGTTGCGGCAAATAAATCCCTGAGTTGGATTGTAGCTGAAAAATTATTCCAAGTGGATGGTGAATTAGTATGCCATCGACGGATTTCTCAATGAGAGGGTTTCAAAATGAGTCCAAAGAAATTCTGTTCAGTGTTAATGGTGAAAAAGATGTTGTGTTGTTTGTACTACATGTAAACTTTAAATGTTTCTCTGACGCATAGAAGTTCTGCTCTGTGCTCGCTGCAGGAGTCTTTGTCTCAGTGGTAACGACCTCAATGTACAGAGAGAACCTGCAAATGTGTCCTTTGTTATCTACCCTCAGTTGTGTCACATGCTCCTGGTCCACTGGGATCGTCTCGATGATGACTTGGTCCAACACACTGCAGTGAGCAAAGACAGACATGAGTGGAGGCAAACAGTGAGTGAGGAGAGAAAATCCACTTTGCATCAGCAGCTTAACACTGCATATGTAGAATGTATGGGTGTAGTACCTCTGTAGGGGGATGGCAGACGAAGCTAACACGATAGTCATTGCACATCTTTTTGGGTTGGTCCTCGTTTTTGCAGACGAATCCTGAAATTGGATAATTTCTGAAAAAAGAAACCAATTTGGCACTTTATAAACACAACCTTATTAAAATGGCCAATTAACTGTTTTGCATTTTTTAACCGTGCTCGTGTCTCAGAGAATGGCAACGCCACTATGTCAGTCCACCAACTAGTCCATCACTGTGGTTCAGGCAGAAATATCTCCAGAAACACTGGATGAGTTGTCATCACATTTAGTTCAGACCTCGACTTTCATCCTACCACCACCAGCAGGTTGACGTTTGTGTCTTTTAGTCAAACATCTTGACAGATATTGAATAAATTAGAATAAAACTTGATACAGACGTTCATGTTTCGCTTTGGCGATCCATCAGATTGTAATCTCAAACTCACACAATAACAGATGCAAAATGTTTCTACTTACGTATAAATCAGATCCCCTGCTGCAGCCACACTGAGTCCAGAAAGAGTTTGGGCCTCAAGGGATGATGGTTTAGGGCAGATCTTTCCAGGGTGATCTTTGCGAAGCCTGTCAAGGGTTTCCCAGTCTCCAGT